AAACGTCAGCTTTTGTAATCGTTACGGTGGCCAATTTACCACTTCAACTTTGTTGATATATCCAAGTTATTTTGTTACTCCCACCGACGCAGCCCCAAACAGTTTCTTTCGAAACTATCAGCCTTTCTCGAATTAAATACTGGTTGTCAAGGAGATTCCCCTACCCTGCTGATTAAGCAGAACAGTTTCCTTCACTCTTTAACCCCTAAGACAGTCAAGCATCTAATTATTTCACCTTACAGAAATAGTTCTAAATGTTTAGAGAAAAAGTAAGCTAAGGGAGAATATGCATGCTGAGTAAGGGTGAAGAGGGATAGAAGCCTATTCTTTTTTTCATTTGAAATTGAGCATAAAACAGCATACACAAATCTGAGGATCAGGAGGGTCTGAGGAATGAAAACCATACAAGGTCTCAGTGGAGCTAGCTAAATATACCCCAAAACCCCATGGTGGGGTGGATATTTTTCACCGAGTTTTCAAAACGTTGCAGCAGATCAATTCGTTACCAACTAAAATTCTCAATAGCAGCCAAGTACTGCTGCGAGTTTCGCTCAAAAGCGAAACGATGCAGGCCGCTTATATTTGATCAATTTACACTTCTCGATAAGGTATGATGTAACACCTGTTCACTGTGTACAAGGAAAAGTGGGCCGGGGATGTCACCTTAGCAGGACGTCGTCCCTAACCGCTGCCCAAGGCAAATATTCTGATAGACTATCAAAATTCAAATAGACAGACATACTCACCTATAGCACTTTTTAAATAAACTCAAATTCCATTTTCCTGATGAATGGCGAACCCTCCCGGTAAATGCGCAAGAAAATCGTCTTCCACAAGGATCGCGTTGAAAAGCCGGTAGGCGATCTTTAAACACTGAATTAACAATCGAAGAATGGATGCTAGATGTATGACGTTTACAAACTGCTTCAAATTCTTTCAATCCAAGGCTGAAATTCCGGTAAGAGAAATGTTTGCAAGGGGATAAAATTGTAAAAGGACATGAGTATATTGCTCCCGCCATCTTGAATCTAAATTTTTAGAGCCCAGGCTTTCTCTGGTGGCTTTATGGAGTGGAAGGAAGCCTCGCAATGCATCCTGGGGTATGTTGACAGCGTCCACCTTCTGGCGTCGCGTCGATTCATTGTTTTTGATTGTTTGTCTGTGTTTTCCCAACGGTCAACTATTTTGCAGTTCTCAGGTGTGCGTAGGTAATATTGGGTCAGTTTTTAATCCATTCCCGTTGCTCCGCTTTTAGAACAGCGATTACTCGCCACAATTGTTTCGTCTACTCGATGGGTGAAGTCTAAGAGTCTCGCGTGATATTTTCGCGCCATTAATTTGCGTCCCTTTGGGTGATCTTCGCAACAGCGGTTGTTTGGAAGATTGTACATCCCAATTGCACGCTTCAGGAAAAAAATGTCAACTTAACTCTGTGTTTCTTTCAGTTCCAAAGTGCTTAAAGAGCCGTAATCATTTCAGGATTGTCCCGTAGTGTGTAGAAAAAGAAGAATTTATCAGAATGCCTGACATAGATGCAGCCGCTAGCTCGGCTAAGAAGCGTGGTCGTCCTCCAAAGCCACCCGCTCCAGCTGCTGACGAATCTGGCGAGCCTGTCGTCAAAAGAGGCAGAGGTCGACCCAAGGGCTCAAAATCAGCAAAAAAGAAGGAGACAGCTCCTAAACCTTCAGGTCCGAAGCGACCTCGCGGACGTCCGAAGGGTTCGTTTAAAAAGAAGCCAACGGCAGCCGAATCGAACGAGAAGAAAAGTCCAAAGAAAGGTAGCGAGTGAAGAAAGAGCATGAAATCTCTGCGATCTCCTAGCGTTACAGACACTGTATCACAAAGACACGAGAAAAGTTACTTTATATATCTATATACATCATGTTACTCATTTGCTTTGTTTTTCTGCTACGTACATGTGTGCTGATCTTGTAACTCGAAACGTTTCTTATTAACATGTTTGTTTCACTAGCGATTTGCTCTTGGACGAACCCTTCGACACGAGCGAAAGTGTCATTCCAGTTGTACGTTTATCATTTATTAATTTTTGTTTTCATAACAAACCTGACTCATGGAGCTCTATGAAAAAAATCGGAACTTGCGTTTGTATCAGTTGATGGAGTCAAAGCGGCATCTGACGAATACAATGTCACATAGCACTCGTTCCTGTCATTTCTCGATTTTACTGATCGTTGATTTCGACTGATCAACAGAATGTTGGATCAGTAGAGATTTACTCTAATGCCTTGTGTTATTGTTACTTGTTAACAACTACTCTGAGTGTTGAACCTATTTTTATATTGTAGAACTGAAGTTATACTAATTGCAACATAAACTGTTGATGTACGTAGATACTGTATAATTTACTGTTAAATGTGTAAGGCTTGAAAACACTTGTTGTCTTTGTAGTAAAACTTTACTTCAAAGTGTTTAATTTTTGGGCTGTTTTCGTGTGTATGTGATGTTTTTACTATTATTTTTTTGTATTATGTGTTAGTGCTGCGTTTGATATTTGGATTCTATTATCTGAATCGGTCATTTGGGGCAAGGAGAAATTTGATTTATTCATTCGCATCGATCCATTAATAACCGCCATATTAATACCACCATATTGTTTTTTGTTGGTTTTGTTTTCCCAGAATTTTCCTTGGAATGGGAAAGCCCCCATTAAGATAAGGTTGCTATTTTGGGAAAACCTTAATGGCTCTAGAGAACTTTGGTTTATAATAATGATTGGTAGATTTTAATTCTCATTATTACTTCAATTTAGTATGGTGATTTGTTTTGTTAGATTTTCAGTCCCACTCAAGTTCTGAGTTGCTTGGTAGAGATCAAACTTTTTTATATACTTTGAGTGAACTACATGAAAGCATCCCATTTATGTTGAATGTCAAGATTGGGCAATTAATCCCATATATCTCAAAGAGCCTCATTTTAGAGAGCAATAATTGCTTGTTCAAAGTTTGGCATCAGATATTTTCTGCCAGGTGAATTTCACATCTATCACCTTTTAGAGTCCAGTTCCCTGACTATAGACTATGACATGTGGTGTCTGCTTACGAGAGAGCTTAACCAAAAGAAAAATCCAATTTTTACTTCTACTTTCATTTTAATTTTTCACTTCCACACAGTAGAGCTGTCTGCCGTTGAGAGTGTCCGTTAGAGGAGAGTCAGCTGTATTAATTTTCTTAAAATGATAAAATAGCAAAATTTTGTTAATTCTGATGTCGTCTGTGTATCAGTCCCCTAGTGGATCACGTGTAAGAACTTATCAAAATGTGTAGGGAATTCAGCCAATTATGTAATGTTTATCAGTGATCATGATAGATTATATTCACAATTAACGTGCTTAAAACCGTTAAGACCCAAAAGTGACTATCATTAAACTTCTAGCAGTATCACTACTGAATAAAATGTTAAGATCATCAGAAGAACAGGACCAACCTAAAAAGGCTCTTAATTGATATACATATTCTCCTCTGGGTACCTTGGGAAACATAGAGTGAAGGGTATAGAGAATATATCAATGTTGGATACAAAGGGTTAAGTTTTTCTCTGGGTTGTTTTATCATTATTGTGTTTTTTTTCTTGAAATTATGAATTCCATCTTTGGAAACCTCATCACAAAATAGTTAAATTTGGTAAAAAAACTTTCTCCAAGTAGACAGGTTAGCCTGTTCTGAGCTCTCAGTCAGTAGAGACAGGCAAAGAAGTAGGCATGTGATTGTAGTTCCTATGGAAATGGCTGATCCCCTCCACTTAGATAGATAGATAGTTTGTTTGTAAAAAGCTTGCAGCCACTGAGCTGAATTGTGTATTTACAATAAAGTATAAAATATAACTTATAATAGTAATATGATAGTATTAAAGTCCTAAATAAATAATAATATCCTATAAATATGATGAAAGCTTGAACTGTTAAAATATATACAACGGCATCGATCTCATTTGCAAAACTCACCGAGCACTAAAATTCGTTGTTAATACATAATCTTACTAAAAAA